CGTGRTACAATAACATTATCTACAATACGGATATTTGATGAATTAGTAATTAGTCAAAGTATTGGATRTTATATGAACGAATCATTTTCCATTTGGCGTCTTGGAACATGAGTAATTGAGCGAAGCAAATCGCTTAGTGCATAAACTGTTTACTTCACAAAGTTTGCGCTTTTGTATGTACAGACAGACCACGTCGATGGGCGATCAGATAAAAGGATTTTTTTTTACAGCAATAAATCAAATATTGGAAATCTATTACAAATGTTGAGAGCTTGTATTATATTATATACATATTATACGAGCGTAAGACTGAATAGTTGTTGTAATGAGAGTWAGTTAGGTACATATATGTCATAAATTACATTTAGGAACGCGAATGGTCGTTGAATTCTAATCGGATAAGGTGAGTAAAAATTGTTATAAAAACGAGAAATTATACGGAATATTATTTGGTCACAAACATCTCATCACGGCGGGCAATCGTGTTTTAGAAAACGCAATGGCCGATTAATCAATCCGGAAGATGTAATTACAATTATATTTWTTTTTTTCCAACGCATTAAAACAGCAATTACGGTAATATTATCATATTGTACCACATGTTCTGATGTCTATGCGTGTGGACAACGGCGAARCTGGCTGGCACCGCCTCTGCAATGTAACAGAACATAGTAATTCACCAGCCTTGCTCTACGACTCAATGTTTTCTCGCCATATGTATAATATACATAATACGTATTAACTACATGATGTGCAAACTGCTGTTTTACTTTGTACTTATATTTACGAGCCAATAACTATAATATATGTTGTCATACTTTGAGCTTTTTCGTCTAGATTTACATAATATCGAGCACAATGTGGATGGAACTTCTAAAAAGCTGCGTAAACGCATAATATCACATTACAATAACACGCTCTGCGATCGTCGCGGTACGCGCTTTGTCGGACACAACCGACGGCAGCATCTGTCCCGTATCACTCGGCCATTACCCACCCGTTCACCAGTTCGCCATACCTTTCACAGTTGTCATTTGGGCGGTTGTGCGGTGACTATCGGGGTTGTGGAAAGTCGAGTACTGCCGTTCGAGTAAACTTTTCGTCAAACATCTCTCTACACCGAACCCCTGTCACCCCTCCCCTCCGGCGTATTGTCCTCTCGACCT